TGTTATTGCATTATATATACTATATTCTAACTTTGCCATGGCTCATACGCCCCTATACAACCCATAGATTCATCAAAAGAAGCACATAATGCAAAGAAATCAGAATCTGTCAAAAACAGAACAGTCTGTAAAGATGTGAATTGTTCTTATACTTCTGTAACTCCAAAAATTCGGAAACATTAGGAAAACAGAGGCAATTTGTATATCAATCTTGTGTAAAAATCCAGAATTTTTTGTCGGTTCTGTGAATCTAGACAATTATTTTACTGGATGCAAAAATTTCTGTTTTTCAACAAGATCAAATCAACTATCACCAAAGCTATCCCAAAGTCTTTACTTGGCACAAACGCTAATTAAAAAATTAAGAAAACACTATCATAAGAGAGGCATAATTGTGCAAACACTCAAGAACAGAAAGAAAAAGGCAAAAATAAATTTAGTTCATTGGGTTGCCTCCCAACAAGAGCTATCATTTTATGCCCCTAGCTAAGCATAAAGCATAGATTCAAGTATTATCATCTTTTGTTTTGTAAGGGCTTTCTCAAAACCGGGAGGCTCTTTACGCTTCCCTAAATTCTCAGGAAAGGAAACCATCTTGAGATCAAAAATATCCAACCGTTTATTGCAAAGAGAAATCAAAGTATTCATGAGATTGAGGTTTCCACTAATATGTTTGCAACTCGACCATATGTTTATGCAAATCACTCAGTTGTCTCAAATTTGGACCCCTTCTTGAGTAAAAGAAATTCCCTTTTTGGTTGGTGGGATTCCCAAGTTCCCCTCTAGGATCTCATAAGCAACATTAGCATCAAGTTCAATAAAATTCCCTTTAGTGGCAAAATCCAAAAGTTGTATATGATGCAAAGCTAATCCTATATAAAAATTTCGAAGAAAAATCCTTGCATCTCCTTTAAGGTTGCTAATGCAATAAGATTTCATTAATCTATACCAAGAATCTTTCAAAATTTCTCCTTGTTTTTGCTTGAAGTATAGAACTTGAAAATCTGGTGACAAAGGAGGGGTAGTCATGCTAGCAATAATGACAAAGTAGGCAAGCAAGGTTACACACATAATAGGTCTGAAAAAAAATGGCGAATGAAAAAGAGGGCGAATAAAACGACAAATTTTGGTGAAGTGGGGGAGATGAAAATGAGAGGCAAATGGAAAATAATATAAATTGCAAGGAGATGTGATTTGTGATTAGGAACCTGATAGATGTTGATGATGTCTCCCCGTCAACGGCGCCAGAAACCCCTTTGATGTCGCTTGAACTACGTCGGCATTCCCCAAAGAGGAAGGGATGATGCAGCACATCTACGATAGGTATTTCCCTCGGTTATGAAACCAAGATATCAATCCAGTAGGAGAACCAAGCAATACTATGTAAACGGTACCTGCACACAAATAACAAATACTTGCAACCTGATGCTTATGAGGAGTTGTCAATCCCTCTTACGGGTAACGGTGTAGCAAATTGTCAAGTTGACAAGATAAACCTGTGATAGATTGGATAAATAGATCTCGATAAAACACAAAATAAAAGATGCAAATAAAAAGTGCAGCAAGGTATTTTTGTGTTTTTGGAATAACGGATCTGAAAATAAAAGTGGCAAATAATAGATCGGAAGCAAATATGATGAAGAATACACCCGGGGCCCATAGATTTCACTAATGGCTTCTCTCAGGAAAAATAGCATACGACGGGTAAAAAAATTATTGTTGGGCAATTGATAGAACTTCAAATGATTATGACGATATCCAGACAATGATCATTATATAGGCATCACGTCCAAGATTAGTAGACCGACTCCTGCCTGCATCTACTACTATTACTCCACACATCGACTGCTATCCAACATGCATCTAGTGTATTAAGTTCATGGAGAAACGGAGTAATGCAATAAGAACGATGACATGATGTAGGAAAGATATATTCGTATAGGAATAGACCCCATCTGGTTATCCTTAATGGCAACTATCAATACGTTTCTTGCTGCCCTTTCTGTCACTCGGAAAGAACATCGCACAACCGAACCCATCACAACGCACATCTTCCCATGGCAAGAAAAATCGATCTAGTCGGCCTAACTAAACCAAAGATTCAAAGAAGAAATACGAGGCTATAAGTAATCATGCATATAAGAGAACAAAGAAACTCAAATAACTTTCATGGAAAAATAGATCTGGTCATAAACTCAAAGTTCATTGGATCCCAACAAACACACCGCAAAAAGAGTTACATCAAATAGATCTTCAAGAGACCATTGTTTTGAGAATCAAAAGAAAGTGAGAGAGAGGAAGCCATCTAGTTACTAACTACGGACCCGTAGGTCTATAATGAACTACTCACGCATCATCGGAGAGGCACCAATGAGGATGATGAACCCCTCTGGTGTCTAGATTGGATCTGGTGGTTCTGGAACTTGCGTTGGCTGGAATGGTGTTTCGTTGACTCCCCTAGGGTTTTTAGTTTTTCGGGGTATTTATAGAGCAAACAGGCGGTGAGGGAGGCGGCCGAGGTGAGCACAACCCACCAGGGCGCGCCCAGGTGGATTGTGCTCCCCTCGGAGCCTCCCTCTGGTACTTCTTTGGCCCAACAGGTGTCTTCTGGTCCAGAAAAAATCTCCAAAAAGTTTCATAGCGTTTGGACTCCATTTGGTATGGATTTTCTGCGAAAAACAAGCAAAAAACAACAAGTGGCACTGGGCACTATGTCAATAGGTTAGTTCCAAAAAATGATATAAAGTTGCTATAAAATGATTGTACGTAAACCATCCAAGAATGATAATATAACAACATGGAATAAACAAAAAATATAGATATGTTGGAGATGTATCATGCCACATGGTGGGCCTTTAATCCCGGGTCATACTCAACCGGGAATAAAGGGTGGAGGCCTTTAGTGCCAACTTATTAGTCCTGGTTGGTGAACCGGGACTAAAGGCCTTTATGAACCGGACTAATGGCCGATTCTCCATTAGTGTAGCCAAGTCTGGTGGAGATACGTGCGTGGCCATCCATGTTTTTGTGAGATGTATTACTTCCTCTATTTCAATGAATAGGCCCCACACACATTTCAAAATTCAAGTTTGACCATAAATTATACTTCATCCGTTTGATAATAGTGCATGTAAACTTTTTAAAAGTCAAACCTCACAAACTTTGACCTAGTTTTTGGAGAAAAATATTTACATCTATAACTCCAAGCATATATCATTATAAGAAGTGTTTCATATTTTATATATTTGATATTTTAGCTATAAATAGTTTCTTCTATAAACTTGGGCAAAGTACCAACCAAATGTGGGTTATATGTGACAAAAAGAACAGAATATTAAAGGTAGGTACAACATTGTGGCAAAATTTACTTATGTTATGTCGACATTGATATAATCTAGGTAGGTGGTCTGTAACAGTGTGGAACCGAGCTAGAGAACATTGTAACTCCATTGGCGACTTAACTACATTAATAAAACAACCGGTTCTATTTGAGATACACAATTGCTTCGGTCAAATTTATCTCACATTGTCATCTAATGGAAATAACAACATTTTCTCTCCAATGATTGCTTTTCCTAAAGGGGAGTAACTTAGTGTTGGTCACTTTTTTCAAGCAATATCTTCATGGAGGATGACCAGGGCATATTGCTTAAAAGCTCATATTGTGTTGGCCATATGATCAAGGTCGGGAGAGTTAAGAGGCTAGCACATCAAGATTTTGTCAAATCCATCTTATATTTTTACTCAACAATATTTGCTCGTCATTTTGTTTGACAAAGGGTAATATATTAATATCAAGATGATACCAATTAGGCCTATAGTAGGGCAAGAAATATTGAATGGTGATACACTTTGCTTCTTTCTATATGATAATATGCATAGTCGTTTGATGTGCTCCCTGTGGGTAATAGAAAGAGAGTGAAGAAAGGACGAACCTAGAAAAAAAAACAGCGGTACATCATGTTACCATTTAGCATAGATCTGTGTTCTTAATAAACAGTCGCTACCCCTGCTATGTGTCGGTTTCCTAATCGAAAGATAAATGAGCACCCCTTCTTCGGAAGTTATTGGGTCTTTTTGTAAGTTGCTTCGACATGGTTCTCTTGCTGCACCATAGTTTGTTCGGTAAAAGTCTATATCTATTGGGGCGTGCTACGGGTCCGCCGACTAAAAGATCAGCCGGGTTGCGAGCCGTCGGATCTGCCCTATCGAGCGGCCGAGCGCGTCTCCACCATTGCAACACATGTCTTGTTGCAGAATTATTTCTACAACACATGTCTTGTTGCATAATTATTTTGCAACAGATGTTTTGTGGCAATTTTTTTGCAACTGAGGTTTTCTTGTAATTTTTTTTGCAACCGAGGTCGTTGTTGCAGAAAATTTCCGCAAGAGTAGTTTTATTGTTGAACATAGACCCATCGTAGACCATTGCAGCACCACATGTTTCGGAAGCATAGCCCCTATTGCAGAAGCACATTTGACGAAGGATGGTATGCGGGCCCTCACTTGGAGCGTGTCATGCAGGGAAGGTGGCGGACGCGACCGCTGCGATTCGCCGGGTGATGGTAAGTGTTTTCCATGCCTATTTTACATTTTGGTTGAAAGATTAAAAGAAAATCTTATGTATGAATTTGCCTTCATAAGTACATTTTCAGAATATTATTTTTGGAGGGGATTTTTAGAATATCATAACTGTGTTAGGTTTGATTCATATGTTGCAATTAAAACTAGTAGTTAAATGACATTTTTAAGATGGTGCCAATATCGAAAGCGTCATTTATTTGTGAACATAGAAGTTTGAGTCTGCAACAATGACCAACACAACTTGCAATGATGTTAAAAAAAACACAACTTGCAACATAGTACAAGTTTGTTTAACGAAAAAATACAGTATAAACACGCCCGGTTTCGTAAAATTTAAACACACAGCACACCCCTCTCAAGCATAAGCACAACCTCGTTGTAGGACGAACATCAGAACACTCCACAGCTTCACACGATCAAACGTCCGTCTTGACATAGAGGTCCAACTTTAAGACGGCGGTGCTCGACGTGGCGCCGAGCTTGCTCATCAGGCTGTACCCCCTCGCCAGCCGGAACCTGCCCGTGCCACCGACCACGGCCCTCTCCGCCGCCGCCTTCCCGTCCGGGCCGAAGTCGACGCGGCCGCCCAGCACCAGCGTGCTGCCCTTATAGCCCCCGTTAGTGAACACCACGGTGAGGAGCGTGGAGAACACCCCGGAGTCCTGCAGGTCGGCCTGCATGCTGATCCCCTGGGCGCGGCCAACGAGCTGCGACGCCGCGTTGGACCCTTGACGGAGCTCGTCGTCGAAGACGCTGAGGGTGCCGTACGTGGAGTTGCCCCCGAGCGGGGAGGCCGTGACATGGACCGCAGTGGCGTTGGCGCCAGAGAATGTCTCGTGGATGTAGAGGCGGAGGTGCGTCATGCCGTCGTCCCCGGCGCCGGCAGCCAGCGTCCCGGTGGTGGCAGCGAGAATGGCGGCGAGAAGATAGAATATGGTTGCCGTCATGGTGATAGCTAATGATGCGAGATTTGGATTTAGGATGGATTTGTCTATTGCATGTGCTGTGCAAATATATATACACACACAAAAGAGGCAAATCTTGTTTTGGCGGTTGTTGCTGGTTTAGGTATGGCCAGCTGACGATAATAGCGGATGCTGCTGCACGTGGTACGGTAGTTGCATGGAGTGGCATCAGTGAACACCAAACAGCAAAAGTAGGTGAATTGTAGCTGGTGGAGTAATCGTGCCGCATTGTCCTCCTTTTGGCACCAAAAATGGTGGACACCAACCATGATAGGTCAGCAGCAGTCCCACATTGTCCACCTTCACACGATAGGGTAGGGTTAATTTCTGTAAAGAGGAAAAATCGATTACATGACCTAAATTTGAAAGACACCTCTTTGTGATGAACATGGCTATAATTACTATAATAAACCGAGTATTGGAATCGACCTATTATCCTATCAATTTAAAATCATGTATTAATCAGCGAGACATGCACTATTGGGAAAAGAAGTACAAGTGACCTCAAATGAGTGGCGAGCGCTACATATTACTCACCACTGCCATTTTGGAAAAGTAGTACTAGCAGGTACAAAACAGTACCCGGCACATAGTAGTGGCGAGCAATATTTCGGACCCGCCACAAGTAAATCTTCTCAAGATCCCTATAGGATGAAAACAGTAGTGGCGGTCGGTATGAAACGCCCGCCACTGCTTTATCAGTAACCAGCGGTGAGCTCTACGGAACGCCCGCCACACATATCCTTCGACAACTCGCGCCAAAAACATTCAAAATTCCAAAAGTTTGCAATGGCGGGCATTGTGGGCCGCCCGCCACACATATCATAAGTGCGAAAAAACTTGAAAAATCATGTTTACTTAACCTAGAAAGTGGCCACATTTTAGGAGGGGGCTTTGGATGGTGTGTGTTAATCATGTAATTTCTTTAAGTTCAAATGATTTAAAGAAATTGACTTGAATGTAGCGTGCGGCGATATTCCGTTCAAACATGGGGGAGGGTGGTCGGTTTCCATAAATGATTTAAAAAAAGTTTGAAGTCCAAATGATTTAGAAACATGTGTATTAACCATGGAAAAAGTTTAAAGTCCAAATGATGTGAAAAATGTAGTTGTGTTTGTAAGGGGGCGGTTACGTTTGAAAACCTGGCAG